AATACAATATATTGGCTGTATATAAATAAATTATAGTACCTTATACGAATGTTTCAGAATTATATAGGCTTATAAATATGACTTATCTACCTCATAGTTAATAATAGTTTAACAAATTTATTAACCGTGTATACATTTTAAATTAATTAATAAAACGGAATTTTTGCCCATTTATATTGTTGAAGTTGATTATGGAGTACTTATAAGTATTGTAATATTTTTTAGAAGAATGGATCTTTTTTAATTTTTCTAATTAAACATCATAGAACTTTGTAAATGTTTGAATGAAATATATTTATATTTTCAATATTGCTTTAACTGTTTTTATTTACAATTTATTCTTTTTTTTTAGTCTATAAGTAATAATTTATTTATAAGAAAATTCTTTTAACATTTATTTGAAACCAGACATTATTAAAAATACAACTATTATTTTAAAATTTAGAAAATCTCCTCCATCAATGTTTTTCACTCCCCTAAAAATAAATATCTATATAATATATCTAATTCAAGGATTGCATTTTTTTAATTTGTTTTAAATTTTTTCTAATGATTATGAATTCATCAAATAAATGAACTTAATTTATTAAAATGTTTTTATTTTGAATAACTGTTTTAATAAATTCAATACCTAATATAGCTTGAATGCTTTTATTAAATTTTAACTTTTTTTGATAACAATATTCATTTTTAATTTCATTTTCCGAAACAGTATATTATTTGGAGTAAGTGCTTATTATAGTTGTATACAAATCAAATTTCAGATAAGTTATTAATTAGTTATAAATATTAAAGTTTTGATGAGCGGAGGGTAGTGGACCCACAATTAGCGGGATACCTTTGTACCAATTCACTCTAGTCATCTAAAATTTCAATACTTATAACTCATAAACTACACTCGTCCAAAAATTCGATTTTTAAATAATTATTAGTACTCTGAAAAATATTCTGCTTTGTAATAAGGAAGTTAAAAATGTATGTTGTCGTTTAACAAAGTAAAAAGTTTCAAAAACTTATGACAAAAAATGTTTTCAAAAATATTGTTTTGTAATGACATGACATTATAATGTAGAAAAATATTTATATTTTCAAATACCTGAATCATTTTTGAAACAATGAACGTTATTTAATAAAATTATCACTGGAAGATTTATTTTAGTAAAATGTAGCCAGATAAAGCAAGAGCATGTGCAGTTAACACCGTGGATGAATTTTGTTAAACTTTTTAATAAATAACTGAATATTACTCGTTTGAATTTTAAATTATAGAAGCATATACACATTAAAATTTTCAAAAAAATATGTTTAAATTAAGTGTACCTCTAGTATTTAGCCTTCTTCCGATAATCAGAATTCGAATTAATTCATTATTGAAGGAAAACAAAATGCATGAGCATGTTTGTTGAATCACTCTGTATAATATATCCGCAGTAGTTAAATAATTACCTAGCTATACGGTTGTGTATACAATGGGTATAATTTTCATCCTTCCCTGTCGTATAGTTTTTGGTTTTTTATTTATCTCCACTCGCGCACGGGTACATATAATAATTAATATACCTGCAGCACCGCAACTACAGCGGTGCAAGAATTGGGAGGGTGCATCTGCTGCAAGAGGGGTGCAGCGATGCAATACATAAAATATATAGAGAATATCGTAAAAAAATGGCGCGATGCGTCTGTATATTAAAGAAAAAATGCTCACTCCGACCGAACAACATTACACACACACACACAATACATAAAGCGCATCTCAGTTAATGGGATTAAAAACCAGCGACAACAACAATGTACATCGTCGTCGTCGTCGTCGTCGTCGTATTTCGCGTTCGTGTAGATAATAATAATAATAATAATAATAATAATCGGATCGGAGGGGTGGTAGGCGGCGGTGGGGTCGTTAAAATATATCACGAGGATACGACGGATGAACGGCGGACGTGTATATATATATATATATTTACTATCACGGAGGGTTGGCCGCGGGATGACGACGAGGACTACGAGAGGAGGATGGGCACGCAGGCAGGATATATCCTGCTCACTCACACACACACACACACACACACTGGCAGAGCATCGCGATGGTGTATACCGAGTTTATACACAGCCACCCGGGGAGATTCCGATCAATATAATATGAACGCACAACCCGGACTGAGCGAAGACCGGAGCAAAAATGGCGGCGGCACAGCTCTGCTGCTACGGTACGGCGAAGCACGCGACGGTTTTTACAAAAAGCTCGCGCCGCGCCTCGTCCATACCTACGTCCTACCCACCGCGCCGTTTACCCAGCTCGCGGTTACCGCGAACAAACCGACCTCCATAATCTCGAACACGCGTGCACAATACACGCGCACACGCGCACACGAACGTCGTCGCCCCATGTACACTCGTCGTATCTATCGTTCGTATATAACATTAAATTTATTATAAAAAATGTATTTTTCCGATCATCGCGCACACATCTTAATAACGTTATCATACATATATACGAATACGCACGTATGCACCCACGTACACCCGGCAACCCCGCGACGGCGCGCGCGCGACGAATTTTATGCGAATAAGTTTTTTTTTTCTTTTTTTTTTCAACGTTTATTCCGTTTGTTTTTTGCAACCCGCTCACTGCATGTGATTTCCCACCGCGACCATAATTTATTGTAAATCGTAATACGCCCATAGCACTACTCGTTTTATCACGCGTCATTTTAATATGATTACATAATAATATATGATATGGCGGAGAGGAGGCTTTGAATTCGTATATAAAAATACGCACTGTTCTTAGCTTTTTGAACACAAAGCTTAAATTACAAAGATATAGTGATTAATTTCATTTTGAAACTTTCATCTCGCATTTTTTTTTTTTTTTTTTTTTGATATTTTATTACTTTTTTAATAGTTTCTATTCATTAAAATTTTTTATGAACATTTATTTTTTATTTTTTGATAAGTTATTGTTTAATTTTAGTCTTGTTAAGTAATTTAAAATATTTTATGTTTAATTGATTTTTAAATTTTATAAATATTTTGATTCTTGAATATACAATTATAATGAATTTTATTAAATCATTTTCAAGATTCTAAGTATATTTTTTATAATGTTTTTAATGCATTAAGTTCAAAACCCTAATTATTGTTGTCGTTATTATTTTTATATAATGTAAGTACGAGGAAAAAGAAAAATATGAATTATGTTTACTAAAACGTTTATATTTTAGAATATTTCATTTTTTTTTTTTTTTGCTATCTAACTAGGTATTTAATTTAATTTTACCACCGGTAAACTATTTCTTTTCATGGTGATCCGTTAAATATTTCCAAACACTTCTCACTTTATTATGCAACTCGTTCACGAGTTAATGTTTTTCTTTTTTCACACACACTGGCTCTAATGCTAGCAAACATACATCGTGATTTTTTCAATGCGTATAATTTTATAATATAGACGTCACTCGCATAGTATGACAATAAATCATTAAGAGACGCTTCGCGGTGGATTCGCGGAAAATGCCACTGACAGTGACGCCACTGCCGATCAGGGAGAAACGTGTAGAGAGACAATATATATGATATGATAAAAATAAAAAAAGAAGAAAAATATTGCTGCAGTTTTTCATTGTTAATAAATCAAAACGAATTATCATTTAAATGTGTTATAAATATTAATAACATATTATTATGTAGAAATATTTCCAATCGACTTACATCGTCGTTAACACTGTAAAACATCGTATGTGCCAAATTTGAAATTTCAAGGCTTTGATGTCTTTGGATTCAGAAAAAAATAACTCATCATCTGGCAATATATCCTACGTGCTGGGCATCGCCCATATGCGCCAAAAAAAATTAATTCATTTTGGGTACAGCCCTTTTGCGCTAAATTTACCGTGTATAATTATAATAAAGTAATATATTTTTTCCTTGAATAATAATCAATACAATTTTATTTAAATTATAGTCAATAGTACGAATTGTTTATAAATAATTACCAATAAATAATAATACAGATTATTTTAAACAATATATAGGTAATAAATAATTAATAAGTTTATATTTTTTAAAAATTATAAACTATCGATAATCATAGTCAGTTGTACGATTTTAAATAACCAATTCGTTAATATAAAATGTTTACGCAGGTAAATTTGGCGCAAATAGGCTGTCGGGAAAAATATACCTTTTTTATTTTGGTGCAAATGGGCTGTACCCAAAGCGAATTAATTTGTTTTGGCGTAAATGGGAAATCCCCTACATGCTAATGTGGTATTGTCTATATTCATCGTAAAATTGATGAAAAATAATAAAATAAATTATACTATTATGTATTATGCCTACTATAAAACGTTGATGAAATACCTTCTATTGCTTTTATTATACAATTAAAAATGTATAATATGATACCAGCTATAATTTAAATAGAATTACAAACTCATTTAAGTACCTATGTAATTAATATTGCATGTTTATATCAACGATAAAAGTAATTAATAATAGTTATTTAAATTATTCTTGTCTTGAACATAATAACTTTTCAAACATATTATACACTATACAATATAAAATATTACATTTTTAATATGATAATATGATTAATTTTGTTTTGGGCTAGTCGTTTGTATAAAAACATCAAAGTAACATCATAACAGTTATGATATAGTAACATATTAAAATAGTAATATAGTTACTATATTACTACATTACTATATTATATACCTAGTTATGAGAAAAAAATATAAAAACAACAGTAAAAAATTATCTATAAATGTATATGAAAAAATGAATTTTCTAAGATGTTTTGGATGTTGATTTTTGTAAAAAGTAGCATTAATTTTCTGCAATTGTCCCTGTAGGTTGTAAGAAGGTACATAACATAAATATAATTATATCGTAGTATAAATTATGCAGTTACACTTTTACGTCTTGGATTAAAATATATTTATTTGTTTGTTCACCTATCATTTTAAACACGATAACGAATAATTAAAAATGTACAGGTGGATTAGCAGCGTATAAAAGTCTTCCGTACACCGCTCATGACAGTATTCTAACGGAAAAAAGAAAACAAAGGAGAATACGGACTACTTTTACTTCAGCACAGCTGAAAGAATTGGAAAGAGCTTTTCAAGAAACACATTATCCTGATATATACACCAGAGAAGAGATTGCCAAACACATAGAGCTTACCGAGGCCAGAGTTCAGGTATGTTTTGTTCAATGTAAAATTATGGATATTATTTATTAGATTTAAAAATAATAACTACCTTAGTATATCAATACGTACCGAAATAATTTAATTATTTCGAATAAAACATGTTTCTCAATGCAATAATATAATGTTGTTAAAAGAAAACAATAAATAAATATTAAATTGTTTATCGTATTATAATATTGCTGAGAATAAAAGTCATATTATATTATTAAGTCGGATAATGCTAAATCCTTAACTATACAAGCTACTTTTTTTCAATACTTACACGAGTGATGTATTTTATACATCGATTTGGTTTTCTCAGATGTTAATGCGATAATATTAAAAAATTGTTTGTATTTACTTATTAAAAAAAAAAGTACAACTTATTAATTTAGTTTTAAGTTTAATAATAACAATAAATATTTTTATTTCTATTTTATTATTGATAAAAGTATTACGTGCGTGTCGTATTTCATTCATCAACACAAAAACAATTTTATATGTAGCTAGTTTATGCTGCTACAAGCACTGAAAGATGACTGAAATGGATTTCTAACTATTATTTACATTACATGAAAAGATTAGATTAGGAGAATAACTGAAAGCAATTATAAACCAAAATAGAACAAGATAAATGATAAGTTTGGTCTACAAAGTACACCAACACGTATAGTTAAGGGTTGACTTGTTATGTAAATTGTGTATACCTATATTGAACACTATAATATATTATACCTATTATTGAATTATTCCTAGACACCAACGTACCTCAAACTTCTGTTGGATCGTAAGAAATGTTTTTTTGACCATAGATTTTAAGCTTCAACAGCATGTAGTTGGTTTTTTACTGTGGAGAGGGTACTATATTATAACACGTGTTTTTGTGGCAAGGATTTGTCACTAAAAATCCGGACGACGGTTACCCATCCGGAAGCTAGCGACACTGGCCAATGCTTAACCTCAGAATATGTTAGCGACTGAGGCCAATCATTATGCTAGACCGTGTTTTTAAACTGTGTAAAATAAAAAGTATTAATAAGTATTATAAATTTCTAAAATTACCCAGAAACCTTCAACTATACGTCTATACCCGTTATCAAGTGTGTTCGAACAAAAACGTATTTTTATCGTTACATCGTTATCGGGATACAACGACTGAATGTTCACAATCTACCGCCAATTCAACTTTGACACTTTTTTTTATTACTAAAGAAAATATAAATATTAACAATATATTTAAAAATTATAATAAATAAGTCTAATAAATAAATTGACTACGTAACAGTTGCGCAGGAATAGGAAGAATCCCAGCAGTGCCACCTGACAAGATTATTCTTCGACTTTACGAAAATAAAAATGAATCAGTATTCAGTGACCTTTTTAGGACTACTTTTTTGTACAATCATGTGGGTCTTGTTAGATATTCTGAAGAATATTTGAGCTATAGTGAAAAAATATTAGTATTTTAATATATAGTAGGTACTAATTAAAGTATAATTTAAGTTTCTACTAGACTAAATATACTTAAATATTGTTATAATCATATTCTTTTTTTTTCAATGCATAAATTATTTAGATAAATTAAACAAATTAAAAAAAATATATACGTATAAGCCTTGTTACTTCATTTATTTTTAAAATAACATATTTTATAAAGCGTAAGAGGTTTTTAAAAAATATTTCGTTTGTATTTTTGGGGTTGAGGTTATACATAATAAATAATCATTTGGCTTAAGTTTCTCCATATATCAATTATTTTCTTTATAGTAAGTTATGCATTCTATAGGAGCCATGAAAAAACTAAGTAGTTGCCGAGCATGTTGTTAAAACTTATAATAATTGTATTTCCTCTCACTCTTAAATCATGGCACGTGTAGATAATATAACAATTTGATTAATTATTATCAAGTTTATAACTTTCATAACATTGTTCTACACTCTAAAATACCATCATAGAATTTTTTTGAAAAATTATACTATTTTGATTAATTGCTGAAGTGTTTAGTTTATTCAATTTAATCTATTTTAGACTATTATATTTCTTAAAGAAACTTTAGAAATAAAAACAACATTTAAAAATTATAAAGAGAAATAAAAAGAACTGAATTCATCCACAAATTTTTTAGGTGTATTCTAATATACAACATTAACATGATATGAATAAACATTAAATTAGGTAAACAAATATTAATTCTCAGATTTAGAGGATGTCGGCGTACTATTTGTTTTATGCCTCAGTTTATCAATCGCAACATATAAACAGAACACATGTACGAATATTATTTTTATTGTTATTAAATATTTTAGTTTTTTTCATCAATTTTATATTTCATTAAAAAATAAAAATAAGTATTTAAACATTTAAATCTATATTAAAATAGTATTTAGATAAAATGTCAGAATGATATTTCAAACCCTTGAAAATATTATTCTTTAGAATTTTTTTTACAGGTATTTTACTTAACTATAGATTATGTTAAAATCTTAAAAGACTATTTTGTATAGTACGTTTTTTTTTATATGTTCTGTGCAAGTGAGAGATAAAACATAATAAAGTACACTGATATCGTCTTAATAAATTAATTTTATGATTTTTAATTAATTAAAAATGTGTATTTATATAAAAAAATATTATATTTTTATCATACTAAAATTGATTTCTCAAAAAATATAAGAAATTTAAATTAAAGAGAAATCCATTATTCAAATTATAAATTTATATATTTCAGGAATTGCAGAGACTTAGCAATAGTTTATTATCTGTTTCATAATATTTCATAATTATATAAAGCACAAAAGGGCAGAAGGTATATAAAAAACATACGAATTATTGCTAGAACCCAACTAATAAATACTTTCTTTTTTCACTAATTTTATTTAAGTATTATAGCTTAGAATTTTAAAAATATCTTAATTTATAATGTGTATAGCATTTTACAGATATTATACCTTATATGTTTTAATAACGTTGAGTAAATTGATTAAATCAGGAGTACATTATATTACACTCGTATAATAATATAAAATAAATAATATTATCATAGTTACAGCTTAATATAATAACTTAGTCAATTAATTAATTGTTAAATCATTATGCACTTTTTAGCTTTTCGATGAAACGATCATAAAATGTACTTATAATCGAACTTAAATATTTATAAGTATTCACATGGTTATCTTGTGAAATTATTACATTCTATGGAGTCGTATCTTACCCACAAATTGTTAAATGTATCCAATTTATCATTTTCTTATCTTCATTTTTCATTTTTCGGTTTCTGTTCTTTCGAAGGACGATATAATTGTATAAATAGTTAGTACACATATATTAATTATAATTTAATTAATTAATTTTTTTAATTTTTAGATCGTTTCAAATTTTCATTTTAGTCGATTGTTCGCCTTTTCTTTTAGTTTCTTAAAAGTTTTGGCTCTCGCGTATCGTTTTTAATTCTACCTATATTAGATAATTGCGAGAACGCCTTAAACAGTTTCTTTTCTTCAGACTCGAGTCATGACTATTCTATAATTATATTGTGCAATTTCTCTACAGGATGTATGTTTTTCTATAACAATTCTCCATGTAGCTATATTAACTATATTGCATGTATTATTGTTTATTAGATACTTTTTATAGTGTACATAAAATATTAATGTTTCTCATTGTATAAGCTATTTACTGTATAGTATTATAATAATATTGTTTTTAAAATTATTTATTAACTATTTTTGTATTTTTCCGTGTGGTATCATAATTAAGGTCAAAATTACTATAGTATTACGTCTACCAAGATTTATTAAATAATATAATGCAGTATTGTAATATATTTGAGTAAATGTCTTTAATAATGTGTATAGTGTTTGTATTGAAAACCGAATCATTTTTTTTATTTTTTTTTTCATTTTCAGTAAAAATTAAGTAAAATGTGATATTAAAATTTTAAAGAAGTAATTGCTAATTATAAAATTAATATTAGTTTTTTTTTTTACTCACTATAACAACTAAAAAAGTATTAAAAAATAATTTAAAAATTATTGAAAATTTCAATACGAATTACGAGTCAAGTATTTATATTTGTTTCTATAAATATTTGAAATGTATTTTAAATTATTTTTGAACAAATGTATTTGTATCTGCATTTAAATACAATTTTAAAAGCATTTTTTTACAAGACTTAAAACCAATATTATACGATTGTACTTTACAATTATTTACTTTTTTTTACCACAACGGCAATTTGTGGATAACTGAACAAATTTTTAAAATATCGTTGCTAAAAAAAAATCATACCGATGCATATACAATATATGTCTTAGTCTCAAATCTTAAAATATAATAACCCTTTAAAAACTATAATAAGTGGTGATACTGTAAATTGTAATATCGTAATACCTATAATAGGTAAAACGTTCCTAACTGTTCACCCCCGCCTCAAGTGCGCACTTGAAGCCAACGGGTCGTCGTTGGATTGAGGAGGGGAGCGGTTGCCGCGAGAAACGGAAGTTTTCCCACACTCTCGAAACACTAACACATCAATTTAGGGTACGAACGCGACTAACATCACAGTATATTATTAGGTATAGTGTGTATTGTTGTTATTATTATTATTATTATTATCATCGTGTCCGTCAGTAGCGTCGGACGGCATCGCCGTCATAATAACGATAAAAATCAACGGCTGTAACGATGGCAAAATATTATCCACGCGAACGACGACCGTCTCTAATAAAAATATCATACTATTATATTATATTATTATACTAGTGTATCGAATCACAACAATTCGCGAGCGTAATCCGAGGCCTGGGCGCCGTTGTTGTTGTCCGGCCAAAAGGAAAACGAGTTGGTTCCGGGGCGCGTGCACGTCTCTCTATTATCGCCGTAATCGTCGCGTCCGCCCGCCCGTCGTTGACTCTTCCGGTCCTGTGCAGCCGCGCGTCGTACGATTTGCCGTGCTAAACGTCCGGGAAATGAGATACACTTGTGTGCAGTGTGCGCACGTGTAAAA